ATATGGGATCCGAACCCATGGCCTTGGTGTTATCAGCACCGCACTCTACCGAGTGAGCCACGGGCCGGCCCAAGGTAACAATTTTGAGAAACCTTTTGGAAAAATAAAAATAAAAATTTGTAACTTTTTTGGGGGGTGGCAGGCTGGTATGGGGATCTGAATCCTTGACCTTCGAGTTACAACACCGCAATCTAAACAACTGAGCTAATCAGTTAACTCTTCAATCACTAATGCAGGAATGAGACTTTGTAAAATGTTTGATCTGCCCTTTTCCTGTGAATGATCACTTTATTAGCCATGGAGCGTTTTAACTTTCAAAAAGAACAAAATAAATTCCCAGTGAGTTTTGTGGAAATGAAGCATTCACGAAAGGAGAAACATTTACATGTCCTTCAAGATCTTCCCTTTTTTGGGGGGGGGGGGATCTGTAGACCAGACTATCCCTTGATTGCATTTATTGCTTTTAGAACACCCCCTGTGGTTCATTACCCTGAGTAATTGCTGTGACACCCCACCCCCACCCAGAATGAAAAGAAGGAAGGGGGACTGTACCAGGGTGTGACAAAACATGCCCCAGCCCGGGGCTTGAGCCTGTTCTGCCACTCACTGACTTGATGACTTTGGGCAAGTTCCTAACTTCTGTGGTCTCAGTTCCCTATGCTAGGTCACATGAACACTGGATTGCATGTTCTTTTAGCCAATTCCAGTTCTAAAATGCCGTACATCTGACATGCCCAAAGTCCTCGGCTGGGGGAAACAAACATATGTAAGGCATAGCCACATAGCACAGCAGCTTTCTGCTCCTGTATTTATATTTTCCCACTAGAATGGTCCAGCCCTGGGGCTGCAGCCTACTTTTTTTTTTTGACTCCTAGTTGCTCTTCCAACACCTAATTTAAAAATAACAATAATAAGCTTTATAATTTTTTGTTGAATGGAACTTGAAGAGTTTTACAAACAGGTGGGGAAAAGACCCTTTTCTCCTCAATATGAGGAAAAAAGATAAGTGGTATAACTGATGTCTTAAATGAAAAATGCTATGAGGATACAGAGAAAAGAGGGATTTGTTTCAGCTTCAAATGACTAGAGAACAAGGAAGCAAGGCTTTTGGGGTTGCAGCATTTGACAGGTGGAAGTGGAATGAGTATTACAGGTGGAAGTGACCAGGGGGAAAAAGTTGTCGGGAAGGCAGGAGCTGTGTTTGGAGAAGAGAGGCTAACTAATAGAGACTAGCAATGATGGCTGAGACAAGGTTCTAGAAGGTACTGAAAGCTAGGCTAAAAAAGCTTGGACTTTATTTGTAACTGATGGAGAACTATTGGAAAAAAATTTTTTGTTGTTTGTTTTGATTTGGACAGAGGGTGAACTGTTCAGTACTGAGGTTGAGGATTACTCTACTGTGGTGCAGGAAGCAGCAGACCAACAGGGTACTGCAATAAGTAAGAGAGGAAGTGAAGTGAGGGTAGTGGCAGCGGGGATGGAAAGGAAGGGATGGATTGAGAGACAACGTGGGAGTAGAATTGACAGGTCTTGGCAACTCAGAGGATGGGATGGAGGATGAGGAAGAGGGAGAATTTAGTTGCAATTTAATCTAGATTCTATAGGTCAACTGAGAGCATACATTTTAAAGTTAATTCTTTTCATTAAAAAGGTATTATATATGGGGCTTGTGTAAAGACAGTGGTTCTATAAATTCAGGATCTTTGTAATATAAAATACTGCTTTACTAAACACTAATAACTTAGAAGATAGATTTTTATAGTAATGTAATAGAGGAGTATATTAGTGAAAGGACAAAAGGAGAACAAAACTAGTAGTGTCAAATATCGGCATTAAAAAAAGATACTGTAAAAAATTTTTGTTCTTTTTCTTGATTAAGAAAAAAAAAGGGGGGGGGGCCGGCCCGGTGGCGCACTGGAGAGTGCGCTGCTTGGGAGCGTGGTGGCACTCCCACCGAGGGTTCGGATCCCACGTGGAGACCGGTTCCCGCTCACTGGCTGAGCGCGGTGCTGGCGCAACACCAAGGGTTGCGATCCCGTTGCCGGTCCCCGGTACGGGCGCGACACTGAGGGTTGTGATCCCGTTACCGGTCAGTAAAAAAGACAAAAAAAGGGGGGAAAAAAAAGGAAGAGGGAGAATTTAAAGACAATTATAGTGAATTCCCATGAACTGAAATCGGAACTTAGAAAGATAGGCAGATTTAAAAGGTAAAAGTCTTGCTTTTGAGATGCTACATTTAAAATACTGATTGGTTACTACTATCCATAAGCAATTGGAAATGCTAATGTCAAGGTCAGGAGGGAAGTTAAGGATACCTGTATTTGAGAGTCATACCTGTGCAGGTAGTAACTGGAGTAGATGAGATCTCCAAGGGAGGATATTAATGAGAAAAAGAGAAGAAAGCCAGAGCAGGCCTGCAGTACAGGAGTGGCAAAAGAAGAAAT